GGGTTAAAGGTCACATACATATGCAGATTGTTTCAGGATTCTTGCCCTAGTTACCATACACAAACATAGAAAATTTGAAGTTCATCAGATGAAGCTTTCTCAAGGTACGAATGAAATAACGAAAATTTGGAGGAAGAAAAAAATTCTGACAATCACTTGAAGGTTCCCCTTTGGGGATTCCTAATTACTATTCCTTTAAGTCTTAAAATTTATTTAATCCAGATTGATTCTATTATATATTTTTTTAATATTTTATTTTATTTATAAATAGACTGAAGTACCATATATGTGGAACTTACTGTTGTGTTGATGCAGATGGTAATTTTTTTGGGTTCAAAATAGCCTTCTTTTGAATGCTTAATTAACTTCAGTAAATTCCATTAATAGAATGTGTAAAAGTATGCACAAGACTTAACATATTTATTTTCCTGTGTATGTTAGTGTGTGTGGTCTACTAGCAAGTCTTTGTACCCCCCTCCAGCCACGCTGACTCCGCTCTTCAAGACCTCCTTTAATGTGGACATTCCATTCGGCCCTCAGGAGCTGTTACTATACTCTCTGATCGGGTAAGGTGGCCAGTCTCTCTGCTGAGGCTGCCACACACTGCCCGCCACATGCTGCCTATGCCTTTTAACGGTGTAGTCTGTTCTCACGTTATTCACGCATGTCCCTATAAGTTTGAACCTGAATCTGCTGGCAGTTCTTAATTTGTACTAATATTATGCCGCTGTTTTTGCTTGCTTGTTTTCTTTGGATTGTCTACAGGTCTGCATCATACTAGTGTGTACAGTATTAAGGATTATAAGTAGGAACAATTGTGAATGTATTAGAATACATTTCTAAGACTTACTGAACCTGTATAACATGAAGATGGGCTGCAGTAATAAGGCACACTGCCCAGGCCAGAAAAAATGTGTTTCTTGCAATTAATTTTGATTGTATTGATTTTATACTTTATTTTCTGGTTTAAGCTGTAATTTCTGCTACTGAGGCTGGTCCTGGTGCCATTTACCTTTGCTGCTATCACTGTGGTTCATTAGGCCCTGCAGGACATACCTGTATAGTTCTCTGGGGCCCTGGCAGTAACTAAGCTTTCCTGGGAGTTACTCCTTACTATCAGTTCCTGTTATCCTCCTATATTGAACATCACATTATTCATGATGATAGGGGTATCATCAGTCATTCAGCAAAACTCGATTCATGTCCTTCACCAGCAGTAGAACTTAAAGTTCATCAAATTTCATCAGGATCTTGGGAATTATGCAAGTGGTTATTTGTCAGTGTGGCTGAGATCCGTCTTGATCGCCGAGGAGTTTAGTGTATTTTGGATCTGCTGGTACCAATAATGTCTGGTACATATCCAATGGCTCACTTACTATGAAGGATACTTGTGTTTGATGTCCTTTTATTCTTATTCCCAGAAACCTTGACTGCTCTCTTCAAGACTAACTTCAAGGTGGGGTACCCGTTCGATCCACAGGAACTTTTCGTCTTTGCTCTGACTGGGTAAGCAGAAGTACTCTAATCAGCTCCTTCATATTTCTTAAGTATCATTATTTACACAAAAGGTGTATGTCATCTTTTAGTATTTTATATCAGACATTATGTCTATCTTAAATTATATCTATAGTTATTATTTTAACTATTGAATTAAATGCAGTAATTAGGTAGTAGGTTGGTAGACAGCAACCATTCGGGGAGGTACTACCGTCCTATCAAGTGAGTGTAAAAAGGAAGCCTGTATTTGTTTTACTTGATGGTAGGAGTGCTGGTGTCTTTTTTCTGTCTCAAAACATGGAAGATTTCAGGTACGACTTGCTGCTTCTACTTATACTTAGGTCACACTACACATACATGTACACATTTATGTATACTCACTCATCTGAGTTTTCTTTGATTTTATCCTAATAGTTCTTGTTCGTGAGGCAGTAGGTAAAATGAAAGGGGGTAAGGCAGCTAGGATTGATGGGATAAAGATAGAAATGTTAAAAGCAGGTGGGGATATAGTTTTGGAGTGGTTGGTGCAATTATTTAATAAATGTATGGAAGAGGTTAAGGTACCTAGGGATTGGCAGAGAGCATGCATAGTTCCTTTGTATAAAGGCAAAGGGGATAAAAGAGAGTGCAAAAATTATAGGGGGATAAGTCTGTTGAGTATACCTGGTAAAGTGTATGGTGAGTTATAATTGAAAAAATTTTAAGAGTAAGACGGAAAATAGGATAGCAGATGAACAAGGGGGCTTAGGAAAGGTAGGGGTGTGTGGACCAGGTGTTTACGTAAAACATATAAGTGAACAGTATTTAGATAAGGCAAAGAGGTCTTTGTGGCATTTATGGATTTGGAAAAGGCATATGAAGGGTGGATAGGGGGCAATGTGGCAGATGTTGCAAGTGTATGGTGTAGGAGGTAGGTTACTGAAAGCAGTGAAGAGTTTTTACGAGGATAGTGAGGCCAAGTTAGAGTATGTAGGGAAAAAGGGAAATTTTTCCCAGTAAAAGTAGGCCTTAGACAAGGATATGTGATGTCACCGTGGTTGTTTAATATATTTATAGACGGGGTTGTAAGAGAAGTAAATGCGGGGGGTCTTGGCAAGAGGCGGGGATTTAAAAGATAAAGAATCACACACAAAGGGGAGTTGTCACAGCTGCTTTTTGTGAGACACTGTGCTTTTGGGGAGATTTGAAGAAAAGTTGCAGAGTTTGGGTGGATGAATTTGGTAGGGTTGAAAAGAAGAAATTAAAGGGGGAATACAGGAAAGATAAGGTTAGAGGAAAACAAAAAGATTGGGATGAAAGATTAAATATAGTTGAGGGGAGAGTATGGAGGAGGTAACGTATCAGATATTGGGATGGACGTGTCAGAGATGGTCAAAGAAAGATGAGGTGAATCATAGAATTGATGGGGAAAAGAGTGAGGGGGTGCACTTAGGAGTTGTAGAAAAAGAACTTTGCCCTTTGGAGGCAAAGAGGGGAATGTATGAGATATAGTTTTACCAAGCTCTTTATGGGTGTGAAGCAGGGTGATGAATGTTGCAGCGGGAAAGGGCTGGAGGCGTGGAGATGTCATGTCTGAGGGAAATTTGTTTGTGTGAAAATAATCAGAGAATTCGTAGTTTGGAAGTTTGGGGAGGGCGGATTACCAAAACTGTGCCCAGGGCTGAGGGAAGGGGGTTTTTGAGGTGGTTTGGACCCTGTGAGAGAAGGAGCGAAACAGAATGACTTCAAGGTGTTCAGTCTGTATGGAAGGAAAAGGGGGGGTAGGGGTCGGCCAGGAAAGGTTGGGGGGGGGGGTAAAGGAGGGTTTTGTGTGCAGGGGGGTTGGACTTCCAGCAGGCATGCGTGATCGTGTTTGATAGATGAATGGAGACAAAATTTTTAATACTTGACTGTGTTTGGGGTGTGAGCAAAGAACATTTAAGAAAGGGGTTCAGGGAAACCGGAGGCCCGGGCTTTAGTCCTGAGATGGGAAGTATAGGCCTGCATCTGAAGGGGGGGTGTTAAAGTTTCGTTTTTAAAAAAGTAGTGTAAAGCACCCCTTTGGCAAGACAGTGAGGAGTGAAAAAATGGTGAAAGTTTTTTTTTTTCGGGCCACCCTGCCTTGGGGGGAAAAACGGGCCCGTGTGATAATAAAAAAAATAGTTTTTTTGTTCTTAGGGGTTTTTTATTTTATAACCATGGGGAAAATGGAAAAAATCTTTTTCCTCTGTAAAACCATGCGGTTGTAAAAGTCAAATAAAAAGCCAAAACAATGGGCTAGTAACCCCTTTTCCCAATAGCTTCTAAAAAAGAAAAAGAAAAAATTTCAAAGTGGGATGTTTTTTAATGTGGTGGATGTTATGTGAATGGAAAAAGAA